AAAAAAAAAAAGGAATGGAAAATTTTTTTTTTTATTTTGACCATCTCACTCTGTTGCCCAGGCTAGACTGCTGTCACGTCAGCCTAGCTGACAGCAACCCCAAACACCTGCATTCAAGCAATCCTTCAGCCTCAGCCTTCAGAGTAGCTGGAACTGCAGACACTTGCCACAACACTCAGCTAGTTTTTTTTTTTTCTATTTTTAGTGGAGATGAGGTCTTGCTCTTGCTCAGGCTGGTTTCGAAATGGTTAGCTGAAGTGATCCTCCTGCCTCAGTCTCCCAGAGTGCTAGGATTACAAGTGTGAGCGACCCTGTCTAGCCACATCTTATACTATGGTTTGAATGTCTATCTCCTCTGAAACACGGGTTGAAATTCAATCCCAGTGTAACGATATTCAGATGCAGGGCCTTTAAGAGGCACAGCCCTTATGAATGGGTTAATGGATTAATCTGCTGCATGACAGCAAGAGCCGCCCTCTCACCCTGTGATGCCTTCTACCATGTTATGATGTAGCATGAGGCCCCCTCACCCAAAACCAAGTAGCTGTAGCTGCTCAACCTTGGACTTTCCAGCCTCTAGAGCAGCAGTTCTCAACGTGTGGGTCACGACCCCTTTTTTCCATTTGTAACAACGCGGCAACTAGGAAGGCTGAGAACCACTGCCCTAGAACTATGAGGGTGGAAACGAAGCTCTTTTCTTTATAAATTACCCAGTCTCAGGTATTCTGTTACAGCAAGAGAAAGCAGACTAAGATACCTTGAGATCAAGACCATGTCTTACGTAGCTATGTACTCCCATTTCCCATCCCTGTACTGAACAAAGCCCCAGGCCTTGGGCAGGCAGGCAGCGATTGCTTGCTGTGAAGAGGTGTTAGGTGCACCTATTAGGTGTATTAGGTATTACTTTATCCACTTACAAAAAAAGGAATAGGGCAGAGGTGAAGCGACTTGCCTAAGTGACTTGTTCTACAGGTACAACAGTAGAACTAGGCATCTAGCCCAGGTCCAGTGCTTATTCACAGACACTGTGCTGCTGGCAGGAACGGATGTGTTAGACTCATGAAATTTGGTTCTGGGCTATGATAATAGCAAGGACGGATCCTGACGTTTCTGAGCCAACCAACCCAAATAACACCCCTGTGATTGCAAAAATAATAAAAATGGCAAACATGTATTGATTGCTTACTATATGCCTAGCTGTATCTTAGGCATCTTATATGAATTGATCCATTTAGACATCACAGCAACTCCAGGAGGTAGGCACAAAGTTATCTCCATTTTAGAAGGGAGGAAATTGGGGGCCAGATTGTACAGCTGGGAAGTAGCAGAGCTGTGTTTAAATCCATGTTACCTGACCTCTTATCTCACCTGTACCTGAAGTGGGAAAAGTTTCAAGTGTTTCTGTTGCAAGGGAATATTACAGAGAGACGAGGAGTTGGTACGACTCTGTCATTTCCTATCTGTTTAGGTTTTGGCAAAGTGTTGGCCTCACTGTGAAAGGGATCTCCTCCTTTTTCTCCCAGCCTCATCATCGTGGATCCTCAGAATAGCCCCATGAGCACCTGCTTGGCACATAGAGCCCTCAGCAAAGATGTGTCAATAAACAAATGATTGAGTATTTTGAAAGCACCCCATAAGATGGATTGCCAGGGAGTATCCCTTTTAGGGTAGTTGGCTCTAAGGTATGTCCGCAAATTCTTCAACTCTCCTCCCTTCTAAGATGAAGGCTTCTCTCCTTCCCCTTGAGCACGGGCAGTACTCAGTGACTCATTTCTGACAAAGAGCACACAGTGACAGGGATGGTTTGAAACTTCAGAGACTAGGTCATGAAAGGCACTGCAGCCTCCTCTTTGCTCTCTTTTTTGGACCATTCGCTCTGGGGGGTGGGTGTCAGCAACCGTGTTGTGAGGAGACTCAGGCAACCTCATGGAGAGGTCCCTGTGGGGAGGAACGGAGGCCTCCTGCCAATAGAGCAGTGTATATAAGCCAGCTCAGAAGCAATCCTTCACACGGCTGTGGCCCAGGTCAGCATCTTGGCTGCAGCCTCATGGAAGACTCTGAGTCAGAGCCATCTCACTAAGCCATGCCCAGATTCCCGGCTCTCAGAAACTGTGCGCAATAGTAGATGTTTTGCTTTAGGTCATGTGGGGATATTCGTTATGCAGCAATAGATAATATACCTCCCTTTCGGGACTTCCTTTTGCTCCTCTGTGAAATAGGGGTAACCATCCCCATCTTGACTAACCTAAGGGAAGGAAGTGATAACATATCCTGAGAATCCTCAGTGTCTTCATCTGGCAAATGGGGCTGCTTACCTTGGAGCTCCTGGGAGTAGGCATGAAGGTTTCCAATCGGAGATTCTCCTTCCTGCGGACCGTGTCTAAGACCTTGGCCTCTGAAGGTGTGAGGACGGACTTGTTGGTTAGCCACCTCTTTACATCACCGAAGGACTCCAGATCCTTCCGTAGCTTTACCCTTTTGCTCACCCAGGTCTTACTATCCTCTGGCTGGATATCTCCATCCTCCAGGGCTTTGAAGCTGGAGACGAACTGTGGGGGTGCCTGGGGTTGGGGTATGGGATTGATGGGTGTCTGGTCCTCCCCGGGAGGCACAACGATGACCCGCCGCCGGCTTGGAGGCAGGTGGAACTTGCTCTGCTTGAACCGCTTGAAGCAGTGGGCAATGACCTCTTCAGGATTGAACTTAGGGGACTCGCTGATAGTCTCATTGTTGACTGAAGTCTTGGATTGGCAGAGCCCTTTGGGGAAGAGGGTTAAAAGGTGAATTTCTTTCCAGAAGAGGACTAAAAGGAGCAGGGGCCAGGCGTGGTGGGTCAGGCCTGTAATCCTACACTTTGGGAGGTTGAGGTGGGTGTAGAGCCTGAGCTTACAGGTTCAAGACCAGCCCGAGCAAGTGCAAGACCCCGTCTCTAAAAAAAAAATAACATTCAGGCCTTGTGGCGGGCACTTGTAATCCCAGCTACTTGGTAGGCTGATACAAGAGGATCACTTGAGCCCAGGAGTTTGAGGTTGCTGTGAACTATGACACCACGGCACTCTACCAAGGGTGACAAAGTGAGACTCTGTCACAGAAAAAAAAAAAAAGCCAGGAAGGACAAATACTTTAGCACCAGGCCGGGCATCAGCCCTGGGTCCTCAACTTGGCTTTCTCATTGACTTGCTATAATGATGAAGATAATTTCATCTAACACGACCAGGCACTCCTGACAGCAGGTGCTAAGCTAATGGCTTCATATGCTTTCTCTTATTTAATCTTCCTCACTCCCAGATCCCAAGACTGCTGCTGACAATCAGAATGGACTTTTCAAAATGTTAATCTGAGCTTGTCTGATCGTCTGAAGCAGTTTGAGCCCTGGCCCTGCCATTCTCTGACTGTGTGATCTTGGGCAAGCCATTTACTTCCCTGTATCTCCTCTGTAAAATGGGAATAAGGTTGGTACTGACTTTATTAGGTGGTGGAGATGGTTGGAATCAGTCAGTTCATTAGCGTTGCTTTGTACCTAATAAATGTGCCATTATTTTCAGCTACTTACCCTTCAGCCATTTTGAAACCCTTCCAGGACTTTTCATGTTCCCCAAATAAAGTCCCGTGTCCCTCCTCTGCCAACCTGCCGTCTTATCACTTGCTTCTTTCTCTCTCTTGTATGTGAGAGGCTTGAGCTTCTGTCTGTTCCTTGAGCCATCCAAGACCCATCCTGACTAAAGGTTTGATACATGCTCCCCCTCTTCCAGAAGCCTCCCTCCCACATCCACACCCTCCTCGCTCCTCCTCGTCCCCCAGGCCTCAGACCAAATGGTCCCTCTCTTGCCTCCAGTCTCAAATACATCCTCATCTTACCTCTGCGTATCCCAGCCTGCACAATCCCTTATCCCTCTTATCGCAGCTGGGGAAATCGAGGGCTCAGAATCATGGTCTTCACACTGAATAAGGCTAGTGGTCCTGTTTTGTTTGACATATTGCTCACAATTTTTCAACTTGAGTTACTTTAGGCTGGGGCATGCCCTCTCCAGCTTTACACAGACCCCACCATTCTCTATTGTCTCACATACAGCTCCGTTCATTCATGAAGTTCTTGGTTTAGGCAGACATTGTGTTTGAGACCCTTGGTGCAAGTACTTGGTTGATGCTTGTCTGTTCTGATAGACCATCAGCTCCGTGAAGACCGTGGCCTCATCTCTCTTGTTCCCTGTTAGAGCCTTGGCACCACAATGGTGCCTACACATCGTGGGAACTCAGTAAATATTTGGTGAATGAATTAATGACATATAGATCTCTGACGTTGGTGCTATGCTTATGCCCATTTTACAGATAAGGACCCTGAAGCCCAGAGAGGCCCAAGGTCACACGGTTGATTAGCAGAGCTGGGACATAAACCTCAGTTTTCCTGGCCCCAGAGTTCAGCTCTTAGTGGTTACTTCATATCCCTCCAGGCTGCCACCCAATCCTGCTGAGTCTCAAGTCTCTTATTTCTAAAATGGCACAAACTCTATCCACCTTCTGAAGTTGCTATGAAGATCACATAAGATACTAAGTATGAAAGTGTCCTAAAAATCAGACGGGATAGATTCTATGTAACATCATCATTGAAAATATGGTCACTATCATTTTCTTTCAAGAACTGAAACTCCCTTGCTTAAACCCCACCCATGGCTCCCAGCTGCCTCTAGGATAAAGCTCAAGCTCCCCAACCTGCCCTCACCCATCCTCCTGCCCCAGGCAGCGTCTCTGATTTCTCTGGCTCCTTGTCTTGCTCCTTCTGCCTCACTCTGTGTTTGTGCCTGAGCTGAGCTGCCTGTGCTTCCTGCCCTATGCCACCTCCCTACACACTCCCAAGCCAGGCCGCTTCCTCTCTCTGACATGCTCTCCTATCTCCCGCTTCACTTGATTATTCCCAGTTCATCCTTTGAGACTCAGTGCAGACACCCCTGTCCCCTGAAGCCTTCCCAACCCCTCTGTTGTGTCCCCTCTGGGTCTCCACAGCCCCCTTACATAGCCCCTTACTTAGCACTTGCCATATTTTTATGAGACGAAGATGCTTTCTGCATCGTTCATTTCCAACAGCCTGCAAGTTTCCCAGTAGTTTCCCCTGTGTCCCTGGTGACCAGCCCGGCACAGAGTGGACGTTCAGTTCATTTGTTAAGCCTCTTTGCAAGGCCCATGTGTTCCTTTCATAGTCGGCAAATAATAAAAGTCTAAATCAATAGGGACAGAGGTGAGCACAGGGGATTACTGAGCGTTTAGTCATTCATCAAATGCGTATTTACTGAGAATCGCCAGGGCTGGGTGCTGCGCCAGGTACAGATTTATTTATTTACGTATGGGCACTATTAAAATTTCCTTAAGATATTTCTTTGGGAAAGGGGACACCATACTTCTACTCAAAGAAGAGAAACATTTTTACAGTAGCCTTTTATTTCTCACACTTACTATGTCATGAATTCATAGGGAATAGGTTCGAGCAGCTCAGGGGCCTTTCTTTCCATTGAATGTGACAAAGCTTGCTATGGCTATTACATCAGGCCCTCACAGGGACGAGGTTCCAGCACCCCCTGCTCCCTTTTAACGGGGTCTCCTGTGTGCTACGCTGTATGCCTACTAGGCCGTGAATTCATAGAGGAATAGCTTCTGGGGCTCAGGCTCCTTTCCAGTGGTTCTCACAGAGTGAGCTTCTCTGGCCAGAGCAGGCTGGTGCTTCATTTCAACCCAGACACCTCTTTAGTTTCCTTCTTTTTCTGATCATTTTCCTTCATGCTTTTTAGGAAGCTATCTTGACTCTTAGAGTGTTTAATATGCTCAATATGAACATTAATCCTTTTGGCAAGAATCTGGCCCTTAACTTGTTTCTTTACAACAATGCCAGCAGCATGCTGGGTAACACTGTAGACTCTTTCAGTTCTGCCATGGTAACATTTGGGCGGCATGCCTTTCTGAACAGTACCCATATCTTTGCGGTCTACACTATCACCTTTCTTAGGATTCCCATGTACCTGGCTAAAGGAACAACTCCATGTTTCCTAAAAGGCCTAGAGAACACATATTGGGGGCCTCTCCTCTTTCCCTTAGTGTTTGACATTTTGGTGAATTGCTGGAAAATAGCATCTCTGGCCCAAAGGAAGCCAGGTGCAGAGTTAAACGGGGCTGGGCACCTGACCATAGTGCACCAGATGGAACAAGGCAGGACAAACAGAGGGGTAACAAGGTGCTCTCAGTTGCAGGAGAAACCTGATGGATCTTGGGGGTCATCAAGGAAGAGGTGCTACTGATGTAGTGTAAGAGCCAAACTAACTCCATTTTGTCAGAGACTCCATTTTAAAGCCTGGTTGTTTTTCTAAGTTACATTCCAGGAGTGCTGAGTAATGTAAGCAATGCCTCATGACCTTGCACAACATCTGAGTGCTGAATAGTGTAAGCAATGCCTCACGACCTTGCACAACATCTGCCCATGTATGATGATGGCAGCCCCCAGACACCTAACTCTGACTGCTAGAAAATACTTCTTTATATTGACCCACAGTTTGCTTTCTTGCAATTTCTACACTTTGATGCTAGACCTCTCTGCCGATGCCCCAGAAAACACACTTCTTCCCCCCGTTTCCAGGACAGTCTGCCGGTGTCTGGAGATAATTCCAGTCTTTCTTAAAATTCTCCCTGCCCTCGGCTTCTGATTCAGATCTCTCCCTAAGTCTCACCTCTGGCTACTACTCTTGGGCCTTTCTTTTCCTGCACACTCCTTAAATATTGGTACCTTCCAGGCTCACACCCAGCTCTCTTCTGTCTTCAAAGAATACCCTCCACTCACATGTTTTCATGACCCTCTGTATCAGGAGGACATTGACTCCCACTAATGCTTATGACTTAGAATCAGCTCCAATTTTATATATCAAGTTGCTCCTAAAATATCTACACTTGGATGGCTTACAAGGATCTTAAACTTAACCAGTTAAGCCTGAGTTTGCCTCCATGCCCTTGCCACCTCCTACCTGGGTCCTCTGAAAACATTCTCTATCTCTGTGAAAGGCGTCTCCATCTACCAGGTCCTCTCACTACCTACTCCAGCATCATCTTTGATTGTGCCTTCCATGTTCTTTGACCAGTCAGTCCCCTCTAGCTTGGGTCCTCTCCCTCACCTCTCAGCATCATTGGCCTGAGCATTTGACTGGAGGCCTGACCCCTGTGCCTGGGAAAAGTGGCCAGAGGGGCAGCTTGTCCTCTTTCTCCACTGGATGTTAATGTGTTCAGCACTCACTGGAGAAGAGGCATGGAGAAGACCTTCCACTTTCAAGCTTGCCATCCCCAGGTCACCTCACACCCTCATTCTGACTCTGCAGTCAGTCTCTGAGCTTGCGGACAGGTCCCCACCTCATCCTGTCACTGCCAGTGGTTTCTCTATCTCCTGGCTTACAAGATCTCTATCATCTTGTCTCCTCTGACTTTTCTCACCTCATTTCCAAAGACACTTACTACCGGAAGTTTCCTGAAGAGATTGGGCCTCTGTGATGCTGTTTCTTTGCTGGAAATGTTTTCCCCTCTCCCTTTGGCAAGGAGAACTCTTTAACCTTTAAGCCCTAGCATAAAGATCTTTTCTACGATTCTTTCCAGAAAAGACTGTTCTTCTTTGTCCCATACCCTCAGTGTACCTCTTATTCCTGGATGTTTCCCCTGGACCCTGCATTCACTCCTTATTCTGTAATTATCGGTTTATCTTTGTCTTTCACTTCTTTTTTTTTTTT